GCGATTTAGTTACAACGATTGAAGAGACGTCTTGACCAGACTGATTGATAGCACGGTATGGGTTTAGCTCAGTTAGAGGGCTAAAGTTTTTTAGCCCGGTTGGAAGGCTAAAGCTTTTCTTAGCTCGGCTGGTAACAGGTAATCCCTATCATGCTGCGCAGATGGAATTAAGGGGCAATGGAGAGGGTAATTTCTATTTAAATTGGGCCGAGCTGGGTAATCAGCCACTCTGTGGGCCACAGTAAGGACTGAGTAAAAGGGCCTTGAAGTTAGCCCAGTCCAAAGGAGCTTTGTTGTTAGCTCGGTCGGCATGGTCAAAGCGGCAGTAGTTAGCTCGGTCAAACTAGACTGAGCCGAGGTATTGTGGGCCTTTACTCAGGGCCTTACTGTTGAATAGCTCGGTCGAGGCACGCTATGGATAACGTGGTTTCAACAGGAAACCGAGGTATAATCGTATGAAAACTTAACTAGCTTGGCGTTGTGCATTGGAGCGCCAAACTTGGTTAGCTCGATATTAAATGAACAGCCCAGTTGGAGTGTCAAAGCGAGGCGCGCACAGTGAAATGAAGAACCGAGCTAGTTGGAGCTCGGTCTAGTCTACGGCTTTAGCATGGCCATGTTATCTCAGTCATATTGACATCCAACCGTGGTAGAACCATCTCACTTGGTTTAAGCAGTGAGGGGGGTGTTGAAGGATAAGCATTATCTTTCAGGAATGTGTGGTGGTGGCGGGCGGTGAAAAAACGTCCGGGGTGGTGGGTGGTAGATTGTGACGGGTGGATGGCTGGTGGGTGGTGGTGGTGGTGATGGTGGCAAGAGGTGGGTGGTGGCGGGTCGATGGGTGGTGGTGGTAGGTGGGTGGCGGATGGTGGGTGGTGGTGGATATAACTTTATTGTGGTTCAGATAAAATAAAATAAGTTTCACAATTCTAATAAAGTTGTATTATTTTTTTAAAAATATGATTAAATATATTAGAATTAATATAAATAGTGTGAAAATATAAAAAATATATATATACATTTCAACATAAAATAGATGGCATATATATATGTATGTGTTTATATCTATTTTGACTAACGACTTATTGATAAAAATGAAGTTGCATGTTATATGAATTAAACTTTAAAAGAGTTCATTGTAATTACGAGACTTGCAGTATTTTTTTCAAACCTTACGAAAAGTTAGTATAATTTATCAACCAAAAAAGCATAGTTTTGTTGGTCACTGTGACTCTCTTAAGGGCTAATGCTAATCTAACAGTTAATAATTGACTTTTGATGAACAAAAACTAAAAACTCAGTATAATTTATCCAGTTTTGTATCACCTCCATAAGAAGATATTTTTTACATTTAAAAATAAACACATAATTTTATGTAATTGTAGTATGTTGTTTATACAATTAACAACTCAAGCAAAAATAAGTCCCAAAGATTTGGCCTAATGGATGAGGTATGGGGCATGGGCATTTTCTTTCTCCAAAGTCTTAGGTTCAACTCCCTCACTAACAAAACCCTTAGGCCTCGCTTGTTTTGGGAGATGGAGAAGGGATTGTAATTGAGATGGAGGTGAGACCCACTAATATTGTATTTATTTTGGAAGATGGAGAGAAGATTGAGATGGGCTTCCAGATTAGGATGGGCCATGGAGAGGAAATTGAAATGGAGATGTGAGATTTGGTATTAGAAGTTAGTCCTCCAGCTTAGTATTTTATTTTATTTTTTATTTATTTATTTATTTTTTTTTACAGGTTGGCCATTTCTTTTTCTTTTTTTTTTTTTGAACATTAATGTTGAATGTTTTTGTATTTTATGTTAAGTAAAAATCATAAATTCGTTTGTTTTAATATTTTATATTTCTTTTATAGTATAATAATTTAACAATCTCTACACTAACAACTATCATCAAAACAAATACAATTTTATTTAATTCTCCCACTATCAATCACTTCCACTCTACCTCTGAAAACAAGCAGGCCCTTAGGGTCCCGAACCACAGGGGTTATTCGAACAATAAAAACTTAGTAAAAATATTAAAATATTTTTGTCTGCAAGTGGCATTTTTTACATAAATCATGAGAATTTTTTTTATTTTCTTAGGAACCTTCAAGAAAGTATCCTCCCAATCTGTTGTTCGATATGTGGCCAAGGCAGGCTCCTTTAAGACGAACTGTCCTGAAGCTTGCTTCACTATCAGTTTTGAGTCCCCTGGATCTGAATCTTCTTGGTACTGTGCTTCTCAGCTGCTATCAAGCCTAAAATAAGAGCCTCATACTTGACTTCATTATTCGAACAATGGAAATCCAGTTTATAAGACAAATATAACTTTTTCCCACTTTTGCTTGTAAGGACTATCCCGGTTGCTCCTTTCCCTCCGGCTGCTGCTCCATCAAAGCTCAATGTCCAAAAGCTTTCCTCGGAAGCCATAGCTGCATGCACCTCTCCTCTTAATTCTTCATTCACTGGTTCATAGTCACCACTTGGAAATTGAGCAAGGAGATCAGCAAAGGCTTGGCTTTTGATTGCCTTGGGAGCTACACATGTGATCTCGAATTCACCCAGTGCTAACAACCATCTTGCCACCTTCCCGGTTAGAGTAGGTTTGCTGAGGAGGTATCAGATTGGATCACTTTTAGTAACAATCTGAATCTGATGTGCTAAGAAGTAATGTCTGAGCTTTTGGGCGATGAATACTAGAGCTAAGCAATGTCTCTCTATCGGAGTATATCGGACTTCTGCTCCTCGAATCTTCCGGCTTATATAATACACCGGGCGTTCTGCTCCATCTACATCTTGGACCAATAATGCCCTTATGGACTTGGGGGTTGAAGTTAAGTACAACATTAGAGGCACCCCGGGCTGCGGGGCTATCATGGTCTGAGGCGAGGTCAAAGCTGCCTTGATTCTCTCAAAGGCCTTTTGGTGCTCCTGTTTCCACTCGAACTTGGCATCTCCTTTTAATAATGAGCCGAAAGGGGCAGAGATCTTTGCAAGTGCTAGGATAAACCTCCGAATATAAGACACCTTCCCGAAGAACTTCTTTATCTCTTTCTGAGAATGCGGGGACGGCATTGCTCTGATAGATTTGACCTTGTCTTTATCTACCTCGATACCATGCCTATGGACAAGAAACTCAAGGAACTTCCCAGTCGTTACCCCAAAAGCACATTTGAGAGGATTCATCCTCCACTACAAGAAATTGCATTTTTCGCAACGTAACAAAATATGTTGCTAAAAGGGAAAATTCGTTGGCAAAAAGTTTTGCCGACACACAAAGCTACGTTGGCAACCCGTAGGTAAAGGTGAGTCGGTAAAAGTTTTTGCCAACGAACTTATCATTGTGTTGGTAAAAGTAATGCCTTTAGCGACGAACATAGTCGTCGTTAAAAGCCTTCATCTATCGTCGGCAATTTACCTTGCGTCGGTAAAAGTCGTTCAAATTTCTCTTCGAGATACGGATGATATTTTCGAGCAGCTTGCTTAATTGTCTTGGAGTTTGGGAACACATCAAGATAATGGGAGACTAGGTCAGGATCTAGTCCAAGCATTTCCTTATATGACCAAGAAAACACATCTGAATATCGGCTTATCAACTTTAACAACTGTTCCCGCTTCTCTAGGCTAAGGCTCGAACTTATGAATATCGGTCTTAGAGCATCTTGTCCATCACTCAGATCTATTTCAATAAGTTGTTCGGGCTGAGGCTGAGGCCCATCTTACATGCATTCTGGAGCCACTTCAGGCTTTATCACTATGTCATTGTCAGGAGGCTCTTCTTTTGACTCGGAGTCGGTGACTGAAGAAACCGACTCCCCGCACCTTCATAAATAGTACACCATCTTGCCCCCTTCTCAGACTTTTATCACCTTCCGAGGAATAGGCGGACTTTCTGGTCTAGAGATCGCCCATTTACTTGATTCTGCCCTTGGCTCCTTGTCATCTTTGATATCCTCCCAACGAGGAATTTTGACCCCCCGAGGCTTAGAGGTGGTGGGAACTTCTTCGACAGCTAGTTCGGTGAAGTAGATGGCATTAGAGTAATGAGCTTCATGGGTCTCGAAAGGCCTTTCTGTAGCCTAAATTGTCACCGTCTTCTTTCCCCATTTAGCCTTAACACATTGATGATAACTCGATGGTACAGCCCCATATCTATGCATCCAGGTCCTCCCTAGGATGATGTGGTAGTTTGCCTCGGAATCAATAATATGGAACTTGGTGGTCGAGCGAATCTCTCCGACGGCTAAATCAACTGTTACGCATCCGATAGTAACTCTCATTTCCCACCGAAGCTAGTGATGACTATCGACTGCTTCACAATGCGTTCTTAAGATATTTCAGCCTTTTCTAGAGTAGTGCGAGTCATAATGTGGATAGAGGCTCCGCTGTCCAGAAAGGCCCTTTTGAACTCAACCCCGTTAATAAAAGCAGTCATGTAAAGCAGGTGATTGTGAGAAAAAGGATACTTCCAATTAGCCTCGGAGAAAGTAATGGCACTAGATTGCTCTTTTGCCTTCCTTAAGATAGATCCCTCAGTCGACATGCATTTCTCATGGTGTGCCTCGGCTATATTAATGATAGACTTGGTGATTTCTGTTCTTGCCTCCCTAGAAAGTCCAAGCTGGTCGAAGAATTGCTTGAACTTTACACAATCTTGCAGGGTTTTGGCATAGTAATCCGGATCTTTTTCCACTCTTGGAGGCTGGTAGTTAACCATCTCCTCGGTCTCTTCAAAATAAGATGCCACATAAACATGGTGTCCTCCTCTTCCGTAGTACTCTTCTCCTCCTTCTGGATCAAAGGGATCGTCGACATGAGTTATGAAGGTTCTGCCCTCTGGATCGAGAGCACTTCTATAGTAAACTTGCTCACCCTCGGGCTCGAGGATGTCGTCTAGATAATAATCATCGTCATCGAGATTAGCGATAGCCACAATCATCGGGCCTTCATAAGCTATCATAGCAACATTCTTGCCTTTGTCTCGGTGCTGAGGATATGGTTGTTCTCAGATGTCTTGAGTCCCTTGCTTTTTGAACCTCAATTCCTCTGCCTCAACTTTATCTCTAAAGATTTTCCTGAGAGTCCAACACTTCTCTATCGGATGTTTCAATGTACGATGATAGACACAAAGTTTAGGGCTCTCGCGGTCCTTTTTTGATGGCATTTCTTCGACATAAGGCAATTTTAGCTCTCTTTCGGCCACCCATTCCTTAACTAGAGCTTTCAATTCCTCAATTCCACATTGATAAATTCCACATGGATAAGAAACATTCCCCTTTTCACCATTATATTGCTTTCTCTTCTGGCCTCTATGACCTTCTCCTTGTGACTTTCGGTTATCTGGGGCAGAGGCAGTAGCAACAATAGGTCCACGAGACGATTTGAAGCTAGTCTTGTAACTGGCCTTAAATCTGGACTCCTGAGCCTGAGGAATGCTAATGTTCCAAGCTGCTTCTATTAATGCCGAGAAGGTGGGTAGCTTGTGATTAACTAGAAACATTTTGTACCTGCTCAATGCCCCTTCTAGACAAATTTGAACCAAATAACTCTCCTCCACTACTTCATGGCAATCCACGACCTTGTCCTGAAACCTTTTGACATAGTCAAGGATGTCTTCACTTTCTTGCTGCTTTTCTTTACACAATGTAAGTGTGGTCACCTTCTCCACCACTTGAAAGAACTTAGAGTGGAATTTGTTAACCATTTCCTCCCAGCTTCAGACAGAGTTTAGGGCCAAATTAACATACCAACTATATGCTCGGTCGGGGAGGAACTTAGAGAATTCTCTCAGCCGGAGGACGTAGTTTGAACCATGAATACCCAGAGTCTCGATGAATCGCAGAACATGTTCTCGAGCATTTCCTTGTTTGCCATCGAACTTAATGAACTTCGGTACTGTATACCCCTCAGGGTATGGATAGCTCAGCATCTCAATGGGGTAAGGCGGCTTGACATCCGGATTAGGCAAAGAGAGTAAAGTTCTCTTGCCCCATTCGGGATCGAGCATGGCTTGCACATCAGCGAGGGTGAGAAATTGTTGAGGGAGAGAGTTTGATGGTGGTATTCCCGAAACTTGGCTTATGGACCTGAAGACTGAGCTAGGGGTGACTTGGCCATTCTGGTGCTGCGAATTCATCATTGGTGAGAACATTTGACGATACTGGCCATCAGCGCCTATAGACAAGCCAGTTGATGATGGAAAATTGAATTGAGGCTCGTAAAGTCCACTGCACGGCGCCGCTATACCGGGTTGTGCTTGCAGATTTGTTGTCGGCACCAAAGGAGGCCCGCTTGGTGCTTAGGTAACATTTACTGGTAGCGTAACAAGATTAGGTACGGGCAGAGCTCCCTTTTGCGCCATCATGCCCCTCATGTTTTCCTGGACACCAACAGTTGCCGGAGCGCCATTCATTACACCAGAACCTCCCTGTAGACACCCATTTTTGACCGTGCTCAAGACTTGGACGTCATCGTTTGAACACTCGATGATCTTCCATGCTCGTGTTTGTTTTGAGTTCTTGGAGGTCCCGGCTACACGCCTTGCCTCAAGATCTCTCAAATTATCTGTTTTGTGCTTGGTCATGGACCAAACACTTGTGTTTTTGCTTCTAAAGGAAGAGGGAGGCTTGTTGACCATTTTCTCAACCCACCGGCCAGGGCCTGAGGCCATCGGCCTTTTTTTATTTCTATCGGCTAAATGTGATGGTCGATCCACACTTTAGTTGGTCGGTCGGCCATTTATTTGGTCGGTCGACCACATTTTCTGGCCGAGACTTTTTTTTTGCTTTTTTTAGGCATTATGCATGCCAGCTGTGCCAGTTGGTGAACACAGACTCTGCCTTCCATTCACGTGTATGGAGGGATTTGAGCCTTGTTTAGCTTCCCTTGGAAGCTTTGCAAAGTGGTTTCTCTATAAAAGGAGGGCCTCCCCTCCCTTTCCAGAGGTTTAATCATCTGATATAGAAGTTAGATATACCTCTCTCTCTATATCTCCCCCTCTCTCTAGTTGTCTGTGTAATAGTGTTCAAAAGTGTGTTTTTGTTCTTATTTTTGCACTAAGGCACCTAGTGTTACACTATACTTTGGTTACTGAGGTGTTGAGGGGTTAATTTCAGAGCTTTTGAATTGGTTTTGATCAGAAGGAGGTGCTGGAGTTGGTGTTCTTGAAGTGTTCTTCAAGGGTGAGAACTACCTCTTTTATTCCTCATTTTGTCTTAAGCTTTTAGCCTATCTTGCATGCTGTTTTAAGCTTAGTATATAACTGATAAAAGTTCTGTATTTTCATGCTTGAGATGTTTCATTAGGGTCACTTTTGTGTTGGGGGTCGTCCACCCTCTTTTAGGCCTTGTTTGGCCTCTTTTTGTGCCTTCCTCTTTGGGTTTTGTAACCCTTTTGTTTTGGCCTTCTCACCACTGAAATCCAGAGAATTTTCAGTGGTAGAGAAGTGGTTTTGAGGTCTTGTATAGGAGAGGGACACCCCTCTCCCCTTGTGTCCCATTTGCTTGTATTGTTGGCTTGTAAAGGTCGCATGTTGGCTTAATGTGTTTTAGCTTCATTTCACTAGGTATTTGGTGTTAGTTTATTATGTTATACCTCTGTTTCATGTTGGTTTGTTGGCTTATTGCATACATCATGCACTTGCCTTGCAATCCTCTTATTTGCTTAACCATGTGTCGTGCATTTAGAACATCATGCTTGCATGTTTTAGTTTGCCTTCATGAAGCTTTTATCCATGTTGTGGCATGTTTAAGCTCTGTTTGGTGTCGATTTGGTCATGTTTTCCATGTTTGGTATAGCCACTATGCATTTTAGCTTGTTAGCTTTGGGTGTGTGAGTCATGAGCATGCTTTACTTGGGCTATTTCAGTGGTTTGGAATCACTTATCATGCTATTTCAGTCCATGTCTCATGCTTGTATGCTTGCATCTTTTATCCATGTTGTGACGTGTTTAAGCTCTGTTTGGTGTCGATTTGGTCATGTTTTCCATGTTTGGTATAGCCACCATGCATTTTAGCTTGTTAGCTTTGGGTGTGTGAGTCATGAGCATGCTTTACTTGGGCTATTTCAGTGGTTTGGAATCACTTATCATGCTATTTCAGTCCATGTCTCATGCTTGTATGCTTGCATTTGCCATCCTTTCAATGCTTTGAGGGGTTGGTGTCTTATGCTCCATGTTTGGGTCGTTGTGCATGTCTCCAAGATTAAGTCTTTGGGATGCCATCTCATTGGGTTTTGGGGTTTGTTTTGGCATATTATAGCTCTGATTTTCCTTGATTAAGTCATGCCATGCTTGGTGGTAATGGGTGTAGGGCAATCCTCTCTTTTGGCCTTGTGTGCGCCTTGTTTTGTGCTCACCTTTCTAGCTTGATTTGACCACATCCCACGCATGCTCTAGCCTTATTTTGGTCTGCCCTAAGACTATTGTAAGTCGTCTTGGCTCTTTGGGGCTTGGTTGATATGGCCATGGTTTGAACCCCTTTGTTAGTCTCAAGTTTTGGGCTTTATTGCATGCCTTACTTGCATGACATGGTTGATTTGGCATTATCCTTTGCACATTTTCAGAGCTTATCATACTTGTCATATGTCCATATTTGTCTCTTCTTAATGTGTCTAAGAGTCGACTCTTTTTATGCCTAAGTGTTAGACCTTTACATGTGCATATTTGGGTGTGTTTTGTCCATCATTTCTTGGCACTTTGGCCACTATTTTGGTATGGTTTAGGCCTATCCATCCTTAGTGTAAGTCCATAGATCATGCACTCGTGTATTGTCGTAGGCTTACCGCATTGCATGTTGTCGCATCCTTGCGGTTAGTGTCATTGTTGCATACTTATCACTCGATATACTTACATACCTAGGTTGCATTGTAGTATTACATACTTATTGCATTACCATGTTGCTTGCATTTTAAGTTGCATTGTTCATGTTGTATTGCATTAATTGCATGTTTCGCATTGCATTGTTGTTTGGTTTGGGGTGTTAAACCAAACATGAGGATCAAGGGATGTTTTGTACTTAAAGTGACGAAACGTGCCTCAATCCTCGGTCGCCGACACTCTTGACCCAACATGATAAAGTGTGTAGCATTCATTTGTTTGTTGCATTCATTCCATATTGATATGCACCTTTGACACCTTTGGCCATCATGCATCGAAATACGTGATTAGTGGCCCGAGGGTTGAGAGCCATACTCCCTTGAGTTCATAGCATGATAGGAAGGGTAGTCGTGCATACATTTGGCTTGCAAATTCCATGCCATGCATTGTTTGTCCTCTGTTGCAGCAAAACCAGTGTTCTGCAGGAAGAAATGGCCGGTCGGCCACTTTCAGTGCCGGCCGACTACCAATATCCAGCCGATGGCCCCATCTTTGGTCGAAGACCATCCTTCCGTGGCCGGTAATCCTGTCTCTTGGCCGGTGACCTCCCACAGTGCTCAGGGAGTGGTTCAGAAGCAGCCTTGGGACTTGTGCAGCTTTCAGAGGCATGAAACAGTGCAAACAGAGGCAACAATTGGCATGGCAACGGGTTTCCGAGCGAGGCGAATCGAGCATACATCGTCCAATCATTTTGAGGCGGAGCTGCGGCGGCCTCTTTTATTTCATACTTAGTTTGTTTTGTAATTAATTTGTTAATTAATTAAGGGTTTTGTAATATTTAATTAGCTAGGATAGTTGTTTGATTATTCGGTCTGTATTATTTATTTGGACCCTCCGCGAGAGGGCAAACTTCGTAATAAGTGTGCGTGTGTGTGATGCATGTCCTCCAACCCCACATCTTTCCCCCTTTTATTTACCAGCTTATGATGGTTGGTTTTAGGGCATGTTTCAATTAGCATCTATATGTTCACATGTTTGCATTCATCTGTATTGCATGCACCGGGCTTGGCGCATCATACTAATTGCATAGTATTTCAATTCCAACTTGAATACGTGTATCAAGTTGCCGCATTGCACATGCCATTCTTAGAATAGCCGAGCCTATTTTAGTTGCATTTTACATGTGTTGCATTAGCCATCTTAACATGAACTAGGATCTTGCATGATTCCTAACTAGTTTCTTGTTTTGGTTTGGAGTACTAGGTAAGCTTTTATACTTTAGCATCTTACATGAGTGTGAGTGTTGCCATGATAGCATGCTTACCATGAGGCTACGTGCTTATGTGATATAACTACATGAATGCCTGTGGGTGAAAGTTGGATTACTTGAATTGGATCAATTCATTGAAATCCGTGATTTAGCCTACTTGCGAGTAACAAACTTCAATCCATTTTCAAAACAAACGGATATGCGATGCTTTGTTCCAGCTTAGGCAATCTAGTCTATACTTGTATGCTGTGCGCATCACATAGTAATTCTAGGTTAATAACCGGAATAAGAACGCATGTGTTTTCAAAAACTCGATATCATGGTTAGTAGAGGCCGATCTTTGATCGGGGGAGCGGGGGTGCTCACGAAGTTACCTTCCCCAATTGTACCAAGTTCCCGAGCCGAAGCAACTTTGGTGATGACAAACACGTGGCCTTAGACAACGAGTCAAGGT